GCATCGGAGATCTATTGTCCTAACACAACCCCCCCCCCCAACCTCATGGGCGCATAAGGCTTAGGTCATTGATCAAAGATGTTGACTGTTATGCAGGTGCAATTTTGTCAAAGCTAGAGACGGTGAAAATTTGCATCGACAATGATGATGTGTCTATTTCTTTCGTTCCACAAAACCCAAATACTAGAGCAGTTATGTGACAGAGGATGTTGATGGGTAAATGTGAAAAAAAATTGGGAAATTTTGATTTTCACGAGCCTAAGAACACTACGAAGAACCAGAATAGTTATGTTAAATTTTAATCTCAAATGGTGTGTTTTTTTATTTGCCTATCCAGATGTCAGTTAATGAGTGGTCCACTTTTTAATAAAGTCCCGTGAAAGTCCTCTTGGGCAATGAAATTGGGCCCACAATGCCACACAGGCAATTAATAGAGTAACTGACGGATAATATAACAGATATACAATTTTGCAATGATATTATAAGTTTTTTTTGTATGGTCACTTAATAGTACAATCTAATAGTATTCATATTTATTTCCAATTGAGAGGTCTTAGGTTCGACTCTTGTCAAATACAAATTTAAACCAAATTATTGCTAGCCCATTGTAGCTTTGTCCACTCCCCCACCCCTTGGTGTTGATAATATTGTTTATTAAAAAAAAATAAAGTTTTTTCTGTATGAGATTCTAATGTTTTAAGGATAATGTATGAGTGTGCAATTAAATACAAATTTAAGGAAGGAAAATGTAATTTACCCTTATATCTATTAAGGAAATGATACACTCTCTCCTTTTAGCCTGCCCCATTTATGTAATCCGACGGTCATAAATAAAAAAGGGTTTGTGAAAAACTAAAATAAATGTGTGAAAGTCAACGGATTAATTACTAACAGCCCCTGAGGCTTTTTCAGTTTTCACAAAACCCCCTCAGGTTTGAAACATTACACAAATACCCCTTTAGTCGAAAATGTGCTTATAAAAAGACAATTATACCCTTCTAATTAATTACTTAACAAAATCAAAACTTTTATAAATCAATTTTATAAAAGAAAATCAAATTAAGAATCACACAAAATATTAAAAAATAAAAATACACTAATACAATGGCAGTGGTCCTGTGCTTAGGGTTGCACTGGGTCTAGTATACCAAACTACAAGTCTATTTATATTGCTTGGTGGTTTATGACACACCCCGACAGAAATCAAGGCGTGCTGGCTGTCACGTGAAAGTAACGTAGCCAGGTGCACAGTGCGGAAGCAATAATAATATAAAAATGCGAAAAAATAAAAACCAAACTAACTAGAGCACTAAATAAGAATAAGTGCAAGACGAAATAAGTGTAAATTCATAACCAGAGCATAAGTAGCCTAAGTGCAGTCTAGCAAGACGAATACTAATTATACAACATCAAAGGTAATCCTACAATGGTGATAATCTGTCAGAGCTACCGTGGATTCCTCGCAAGCCACCAAAAAGCACTCCAAACTAGAACCTGGAGGGGCGCAAAACAGAAAGTGAGTGGGCAAAAACAAAGTTTTTCAAAACCATTTCAATTATCAAAGATAGTAACCCCTCGCCGTAACACCTGTATAATTTCCCAGAAAATAGAATACATATCTATACCATAACCATACTCAGAATAGCAAAATTCACAAATATGCCATGTCGAATATCTCAACATAAAAATATGTAAGCCAGGTGATATAAATCAATGCAAATGATATGTTAGCCGGAGTCACCTAACATGACCTGTACGGCTGAATCCAAAGCTCATCCATCTAGCCGAAGTCACCTAACGTGACCTGTACAGCTCAAATCCACATCACAACAAATATACTTGCACACTAGTCAGAACCACCTAAAATGGTCTGTACGACACTGGGTGTAAATAAATACGCTCAAGTGCTACGATCACGTGAAGACTGTGTGAATAATCGCGGGTCACCTACGAGTTGGAACCACCTATAGTGGTCTGTATGACAGGACTATGCACCTAACTTGGATCCAAGATGAGCGTATGATGCGGGAGGTGAACATCACGTGAAGGACTGTGCCCTAACCACGGGCGGGAGCACTAACACCGAGGTGCAGGTTTATAAGCTTTCAACACATCACATAATCATCAATTCACATAAATAATCTACAACTCAGCTAGTACTTACCTGAGCATCCACCGTGTCAAATCACAATATGCACATATCATACAAATTCATAGTCTAAGCATAAATCAATAGGCATGGCATTTCAAACATAATTTCATTTAAACACATTTTTCTGGGTAAAATCTCAAGTATATAGGTATATATGGAAAATCAAAAGCCCACTCATTGGTATGTGGAAGGGTCGTAGCCCCCAAGCCTCGATTGACTGCGCTCGTCCTGAGGATAGGTCTCACCTATATGCGAAACAACTATATAAACGTTAATTTAAAGCACATAAAAGAAACTAGCTAATAACTTCTCAAACATTGATCAAATGGGGTGTTTGAATATACCAACGTGATCTACTCAACACCATGAACATCCCCATATTTTTAGAAAAATTTTCCGACCACCCACGCGCCCCATGCGCCGGCCAAGGCACGGCCAAACGTGCCCCATTGCGTGGCCAACCCAGACAGAAACTTAACTACCGTTTGGAATATTCCGTTAAAACCCTAACATAAATTAACAGTGTTACCTGACATCGTTAGAATATTCTATCAACTTTGATGGAATATTCTTCTCCTTCTCCGGCTAGCCTCATCGGTCGCCGCCGTCTGCAACTTGAATTTTCGCCGGTTTCTGGAAAAACTGTAAAACTTTTTATCTTTCTCATTTCTTAACCAAAATTCATGAAATTTGTCTCAAAATGAAGCTTCAAGTGAGTAGAAACATTCTTACCACTTTCAAGCCTTCAAATCCACAGGATCTCGCTAGAGAAACCTCGAACACTCTAGCAACCTCTGCACCTCGATGAACTCAAGCTTCCCGATGTCCAAAACACTTCAAAATTACTCCCCGAGCTTCGTGAAGACATCCTAAAGCTTCCTAGAACCTTAAAACTCACTGAAAATTCCACAATCACGATCACGTGAACAGTGCTTAAAATCTAAGATTTCTGGGTTCTCGGGTTTTCGAAGGATTCACGTTCTAAAAATGGTATGGATGTGTTCCTAAGCTCACAAGGAACACGAAGATGGCTTCCAAAACCTTGATCCGTGAATGCTTAAGTGGTTTGAGAAGTTGTCCGTACAATTGTACGGAAATGGAAAGAAATTCGAGAGGGAATGAGAGAGAAAGGTCAATGGTTTGACGTGTGTGTATGAGTGTGTGGTCCAAGTTGCAGCCAACCAAAAACAAATAAAATCCAAGTTCTAATTGGGTCCAAACCATTAGGACTTAACATATTTGGACCACCACCAAAACATATCACCCACGACACCAACTAACGTCCAAGGGCAATTCAGTCATTTCACGCCATCGAGGATAAAATAATATACACCTTTGGGACGGGCTATCACAGTTTAGCATCTCAAATTAAGAATTTAGATACTGGATGGTAGACTTGATGGCCAGATTGGGAATCATGGTGGAGAAGTCAATTCAAGTTCTGTCTTGGAGCTTGGGGGAGAAGCTCAACTCACGGCAGAGTTGGACGGAGAGGCGCTCGAAGGTTTGACCTGAAGAGACAATGACAAGGTTAGATATTAAGGATCCGAAAATGGGGTGTGGCGCTAAAAATAATCAAGAAAATTATGAAGGTGACGTGTGGATTTTTGGGTAAGAAAGACAAAATTATCCTCGAGACACACCAAGATTCCCACGCGCATATAACAGACAATAACAGCTCAATCAAGGAAGAGTCAAATGTGATCAAAATGATATTTATTCGAAACCATCTCATCACTCCTCATCAAATCCTCACCCACAAGATAACTCCTAATTATTCTTTTCAAATTGGGATTAATTACCAAATTAATTGCAAGATATTATTTGACATAATATCTTGCAATTATATACAAAATACTACCATAAGTGGCCGGTCCCTATTTCTCCAAATAGTGCCAACCAAGCCCCTATATATAGCCCCATCTTCACACCAAAATGCAAGCCATTCTCTCCCCAAAAATTCCTAAACACTTTCTCTCTCAAATTCTAACTTTAGCATCAGAGATTCTTTGGCCAACCTCCCCCCCCCTCCAATTCATCATGGGCACATGAGGCTTGTGGTCATAATTTTAGATGTTATTATTTTGCAGGTGCATTTTTGTCAAATAAGAAGACGATAGAAATTTGCATCCATATGAGGCATAAGAGCTCCTTAGGGGATTCTTTGAGTTGGAATTGGAGAGGTAGAAGGAGATCTTCTGCTTGTGCTTACCATTACCGCCCATGACCAAAGAGGAGACGGTGGAGGTGGCGGCGGAGCTATCAATTTCCTTTTTTATTCTATTTTTTTCGTCAAAGTTTGCTTTTTTATTTTTTTATGTTTTGTTTAATTCTGAATTTGATTTTCTTTTTTTAATGATTTATAAAAGTTTTTTGTTTTGTTAAGTAATTAATTAGAAGGGTATAATTGTCTTTTTAGAGGTAGATTTTCGACCAAAGGGGTATTTGCGAAAGTGAATTAAAACCTAAAGAGTGCTTGTGTAATGTTTCATACTTGAGAAAGTTTTGTGAAAACTCAAAAAACCTTAGAGAGTGTTTGTGTAATTAACCCGAAAGTCAACACATCAACTCAACTCGTACATTATGATATTATGTGATGAGTTAACAGTTAAAGGATCTAAATGTGGCCCGTGAGTTGATTATTATTTGAATTGGAATGAGGCCGTATATATAGAAAAGAAAATACTAAAATATGGAATACAAGGCTGAGGGGGTATTGAGAACATAAGATGGTGAGTAGATGGGGAACGTGTAACTGATAGTTCACCAAACTCCTCCATTAGCACCTACTAGCTCTCTTTTCACACCCTATATAGAGCAGCAGAACGAACTAACGTATGGAACAAAGAAGAAAACCCGGAAAGGTGCAAATATGGAGTACGAAAAACCCTTAGTCTGTGTTCTCGATGCTTCAACCTACGTGGGCTTCTGGATTCTCAAAGGGTTACTTGGGCGGGGGTTCAAAGTCCACGCAGCTATCCAGCATGAGAAGAATGGTAATTAATGATTGAGCATGTTTTGTTTGGGCCGTGTTTCGACGTGTTTTTTAGGACTGATTTGAGTTTATGCAGGGGAAACGGAGATACAGAAGAGAATCAGGGAGATGGAGAAGGTGGAAGAGGGATTGGTAGTGTTTGATGTGGATGTTTTGGACTACCACAGCATTCTTGTGGCTTTGAAGGGCTGCACTGCTATGTTCTGCTGCCTAGATAGTCCTGATGGATATGAAGTAAGTTTTTGAGATGAACTGTGATTCATGTTTATAATTAATTAATTTTAATGACTTTGGGAATGCTAATATATTTGCTAATTATTAATTAATTAGGAGAAAATGGTGGATTTGGAAGTCAGAGGAGCGATTAACGTTGTGGAAGCATGTGCTCAAACAGAGAAGGTGGAGAAGGTTATCTTCACTTCTTCTTTGACTGCAGCAATATGGAGAGACAACATTTCTTATCAGAAGGATGTCGATGAGAAGTCATGGAGTGATCACCAATTTTGCAGGAAATTGAAGGTTTTCATCTTCTAATTTTTATTTATTTATTCGACAAAAAATAAAATTTATTTATTTAATTTTAATACATATGCATTTAGGGTTTTTTAGACAATTAGCAGGAATAATCACTTTTTGACATTTGGTTGAAGATATAATTTGTGTTTATTTTGTCGTTATTGTATCATCGTTACATTGTTGTTATGACATCAGCGTGTTAGCAATATATGTATGATCAATATGTCGTTAATAAATATTGACATTTTTGCAATTAAATCTCAAAAACGGATCGTTCATTGCTTTTTTTTTTTTTTTTTTTTTTTTTTTTTTTTTGCTTCTTCAAATTGGATCTTTAGATCTAAGGTTGGTTGGTCAGAAATTATAAAAATGACACATTTACTTTATTAATTTTATGCACTTACCACCGAGACTAAAAAAAGCTAAGATATAAGAGATTGTGTTGTTCGAAATGCTTTTTACAACATTAAACACTTAAAAGCAGTTTTAATAACCAGAGGAAAATGTTTTTTTTTTTTTCTTAAAAAAGAGGATAACTAGTGGGAAGCCACAGTTATCTATCATTTCCAGGAGCCACGAAAACTCATAGAAGCATTTCAGACTCACAAAGGAAAAGGTTGGCAATGCCATTTCCAAATCATATTTTGTAGGTCACATGATATGGTGGACTTTAACTAAAATGCTTCTGGACTATGTTTGCTATAAGTGATTAAAACTGGAGTAGGATTTTCTGCTCACTAAATCTCCTTCATGTTCAGTCCCCTCCTATTTGAACGGTTACAATTAAACCACGTAAACATCTTATGTTGACTTCTTTATAAAGAAACAAAGAAAAGAAAAAGGTAAAGAGAGGAGGGGACTGAAAAGGGGAAAACTTGGAGGAAAAAGAAAATCATACTCGGTTGAAACTTGAAGTTGTAATTACCTTTTTAGCCAACCAAAAAGTTTAGAAGCATTTAGATTTGACGTGTCTCTAATAGAAATGTTTTCAGTTAATTTTCTTATAATTTTGTTTGGGAGCTGAAATTGCGTAATCTTGGTGCTTTTTTTGTTGTTGATAGTTGTGGTATGCCTTGGCAAAGACGCTGTCTGAACAGGCTGCTTGGGCTTTAGCCATGGATCGAATGCTTAGGATGGTTTCCATAAATTCCGGACTTGTTCTTGGCCCTGGTGTGACACAACAGAACCCTCGCACAACTATGTCTTATCTTAACGGTAAGTAATTACACATTTGGAACATCTTTTAATCAACGGACAACGGTAACTTTGCATTTAAAACCTCTTTTTAAAGTTTGTAATTCGACTTTTAATTTGAGTATATGTAGGAGCGGCTCAAATGTATGAAAATGGGGTTCTAGCATTCGTTGATGTCAACTTTCTAGTCGATATTCATATTCGAGCTCTGGAGGATGAGTCCACATGTGGGAGGTACTTGTGCTTTAATCAAATAGTGAATACTGAGGATGAAGCTATTAAGCTTGCTCACAGCTTGAGCCCTTTGATATCATTACCACCCAGGTGCTTACGCTTTCTCAACAACTATTACATAATAAATCACTTATTGCTACGTACTATTGGAAACCATGTTGTAAGGTTTTGATTTTGTCCTTTGATATATGCAATGCAGGTATGAATATCAAGGGAGTGAGGTACATACCGAGCGTTTGAGGAACGAAAAGTTGAGCAAGTTGGTTGAAGCGATGCCTATTAATTAATATGACATGATCGTATTCTTTCCTAAGTTGTAATCTCCTTGTTAAAATCAACAACTGTATGCAGTGGTGAAGCCAGGATTTGCCGAGGGGTGGGGTGAAATTCAAAAGAGTGCAAAATTCAATCAAAGCGGTTGCTTTTACATTGGAGAGTGTAAACTTTTGAGTCACTATTCATAGCAGAAAATAGTCTCCCCATTAAAGCGGTTGTAAGCAATAATATCAAAATCAATGTAAGAAACTTAAATTGGCTAGGATTAAATCCTAAAAAATGATAAGCGTCAAATAACGGACTTAAACCTAGCAGGCCTAGGCGAGATCTAGGCAGGAACCATGATGGATTTAAATTATAGTAAAATAAGCATTAAACAATATTTACATTGTTTTTTAAAAGTAATACAATATTTACAGATAATGTAAGAGTCCAAGAGGAGTCTTAAAAGAAAAAATAAAAATACATAAAAGAATAAAAAATTAAAAATAGAGAGAGAGGGAGAGAGAGATGGGTTATAAACCAAAAAAAAAAACATGGGGTTAGAAAAGGTAAAAAAGGGAGGAAATGGGTAAACGGGCAGAAAGATAAGGACACGGACAATCCCATTTGGACCACTAAAGTTAAAACACCTGTCAAATAAAGCTCTCTCCCAGCTCTTACTATCTTTCTTACCAAACATACCATTTCATCACCTATACTAGTATCCAAACATCCATCTTCTCTCGCATTGCAAGCACTGCTGCCACATCTCCACCAACCACCTCCTCTTCTTTCTCTCGAAGCCATGGCAGCTTCACCCTCTCAAATTTCACGAAACCCATGAACGATCAAATCCATCTTGCTAATCTTATTAAGGAAATTTCATCTATAAGAAAAAAATTATGAAGCAGGTTGAAATTATTCAGTGAAATTTGGGAGAAGGTTGGTGTTCGGTTGAGAGCAAAGGGGCTGAACGAGCACTCCTAGGCATGTTTTCCGAAGAGGGGAGGTGCGGCCGCCACTTCTTGCCCTCACGTAGCTTCGCCACTAACTGTATGTTGTGTTATTTTTTAAGAAATTGAATACTAAGCTGTTCTTTTGTTTGTTGTGTTTTTTAACAACCAATGACATCCATCGATCGTATATCTAATACCCAACTAACAATTTACATTCTATAACTTTCAAGGTCATTCAGTTTAATTGTCTTTACTTAACTTCGTTATATACTTAAATCTTACTTTACACAGAGTGCGATCCATTAGGTTCTTTTTAGCGAGGCAGTGAGCAATTAAAACTATTACTAATCGATTGTGGACTAAAAATTACTTTCAGTTCTCCCTTTAGTGATTAATAGGATTTTTACCACCTGCAAAAGAAGGGATAATTTGCAAGAGGATACGGTAATTGTAGTATAAACGGCTCAAGTAAGGTCGTTCTTGATTGACATGCATAATTTGTATTTATAACCAACTCTTGGCTAATTATTTAAAACAAGTTTTGGAAGAGATTTGAAATTGTTAAATTAAAAGATAAACAAGAAAATTAAAATAGATGAAGCAAGGTTTTTATAAAACTAGATAGCAAGAAATTTTTTATTTTTTTTTGGATAAATCAAATTGAAAAAGGCACTAGGGTTTAGCCGTCGTCATTAACAATCCTATGTAGTTCTATAAATTACTTATGAATTTCCACATACATACTTTGAAGGTTAAGTTTTCATAATGCATATTTTCCTCGTGATGTTCAAGCAAGAACGTAGCATGCAATTCGTCTGCAATATTCAGGTCAAATATAAACATGCAAGACTCATTAAGCTTTGTGAAAACCTTTTGAAAAACCGTGAAACTCTGAAGAGTGAAATTACAATTACTAACCACAAGAAGCTCTCCTTAAATTCAGGGTGATGTTCGAATAGAAATTGCATCAAATTACTTGTCTAAATACTGTAATGGTGATCAAGTATTAAAACATATAGATATTTTAAACATGGTGATTAATAATTTAAATAAAAAAATAAAAAAACATGTATCCATTCATAAGCAAGTGAATAAAAATCACATACTCATGCCAAGGCTTGTAGCCACGCCAGTGCAAAAAGAAATTAATTACGCATATTCGTAATTAAAAACCCGGAAAATATTATGAAGAAGAAAAGGATTGAAATACCTTGCTAAATAAACTTGAATTGTCAAAAGCTCTCTAAACCAAGTTCTCCAAAGTAGTGCATAGAGAACACTAATGGCTAGCTAGTCTTATATATACTACTACAAAATAAAATCATTCCTAGAAAAGGTCTTCTAAAAATTAGGAAACAAAATAATAAAAGGATAACTTAAACTCACAATCCAAATCAACTAAGGAAATCTATCCAGTAGGTAATTAATCATGTTTCTGGACCATCAGGGCTCCAAATCAGGCCCAAAATGATTTGAAGCTTAGGACATCCTATACAAGTTTGTAGAAGAGCCAAACTCTAAAAACTATCATCTTGAAGCCCAATTCCCGCCAAAAAGACATGCAGCTCAATCTGCTAGCATTGCACGCTAGTACAAAATTAAATGGTCATGATGAGATGCTTTGGGATAAAATTCTCAAACTTTGATACAACCTTCTTGACAAATTCACGAACCTACTCCAATTGGAATTACTCAAAAATTCCACCATTTGATTACTTTATGCCAAAAATGGATTCGCATGTCCTACATTGAAAATACAAGCCAAATTATCAAAATCTTACCAAAATATACCAAGAATAAGGGAAACTTTAGTATGAAATCGATTCATCAATGATATTTAAGGCTTCCACAAATCATTAGTAACACCTATCAGTATGTCATGGCAACCCAAGCTATTCAAAAAAGGTTGGAGAACATATTTAGTTAGGGGTTACAATGCAATGTCGTCCTTCTCTAATTCAATACTCTTGATCACATTACTTTGTTAATAGTTTGTTCATGTCTATTATCCAATGTGATTCTCTTGTCTATATGACTACCCTGGATCTGATTTGGAATGACTTCCTAAATCTCATTCATACTCTAGCTAGAGATTTTTAATCATATCAGAGTATTCTCCCTCAACATTTGAAGGTTAGAGATCCCTTGTTGTACATTTACATGTCCACATCATTAAGTAACTTAGGCCCAACTAAGTCGTGGACATCCTCAAATGGAATGACTTTAACACAGCCAAAGACTAAGGATTTAACCACAAGACAACTATGATGTCTCAGGTCAAATGACTATTTTGTATCATCCGAATGATGAGTTCTCATGTGAGATGAGTATGAGAACTCCTTGTTGATCACATTCGGTAAACAATTACATAACGAATAAAAATGGGTTGATTTTAAGCCATTTGATCCAGTTCCATATCCTCAATTGGAATTCAAGAGTTTTGGAGTAAACTCTTATTAGGGTATGAGAGGTTCACCATTATCAAGCCCACCTCACAATGATATGATATTGGCTATCATTAATAATAATGAGAGACCAGCTCTTGCTCATTTACATCTATTGTAAGTACCCAACTTATTTGGCCTCTAGAGAAAGTCATCTCACAATGATATGATATTAGCATTGTTGCACTCAATTAAGTCATTCAGACCAAGTTCGTGTAGGATTCAAGAATGACCTCACAATGATATTATGGTGGTGACGATTTTTGAAAGCTCACAAAAAAATTCAAAGGTTAGGGGTTCCTTTGATTCACCTTAAAGTGAACATACTTAAATCCAACATCCAATACCTAAATATTTCTCATAGGAGTGAGAGGAATCGTTTCCAAGTAGTAGCAAGGTCTAGTTCACAGGCCATCAGCCATCGGCCAGAATTACCTTGTTGGAAAGTCACAAAACTTTAACTCTGCTTACTCGAAAACGACTATTGGTAAAGCAAGGATCGATTGGTGGTGGTTTTGTGGATTGTAGTCACCAAAAATGATAAACTCATTGCCAACTATAGTGGTGAGTCGCAGTTGGAGAGAAGAGCGAGAGGGAAGAGAGATAGGGGAGAAGGAAGCAAAAGAAAATAAAATGAAATACAGTATATATGTGACGAGGTCCTAGGGACAGAATCAGAATTAGCATAAAAATGTGAGGACAAAATCAAAAGCACACAATCGGAATTACCGTAATAGTGAATAATTGATTTAGAGTTTTAATTTAGTTTGAATTTGATTATATTTGATCAAATTGATACATGAAGCACCAAAATCACATGAGAAATGTGGATAAATAACCAAATTTTGGATCCTATATAGAATCATAGCCACCACTTTAAGTTTATGATAATTATAACCAAAACTTGATGTGGAAGTACTAATATAGTAATATACACTTAATATCAAGATTTCTCACAAAAACCAATAATATTGCAGATCTGAATATAAATGGAGAGAGTTTTTCGAATTCCCACATTATTTTTGGCAAATTAGCGTCAATTTGAGAAATTAATCTCTATCATTTTTTATTTTTTATTTTTGTTATTCAAAATATAACCTTTAAACTACCTTTGGATATCTACAACCTTTAAATCAAAATAAAAGCATGAATTAAAAACAAAAAAATAAACAATAAAAAATAAAGCCTTCGAGATTAAATTGTTAGGCATCTTGGTACTTCCAATAAGATTCTAAAATTGATAGGTGAGTGAACAATGAAAGTGTAGCCAAGTTAAAAATACGACTGTTGTATCCTTTTGCAAAAATCCTGAAGGTTGCAAAAAGTAGTTTAAAAATTATAGAGAATAAAAAATAAAAAAGTAAAGTGATAGAGATTAATTCATCATTTTAAGGTAGTTTAATGGGAGCCTTACTTAAAGAGATAAAAATATATACCATATTTCACACAACTCCAGTTTGTACTTTTAGTTTGTAAATTGATTGTTAAACATCTGAAAAAGAAAATAATTAGCCTTTAAATTTTGTGAGTAAAAACATTAACCGTCTAGCTTCGATGTTGTACTTTGAAACTGATGCTGCACTTTGAATTAATGTTGCTCTTTGAACTGATGTTGCACTTTGTGCTGCACTTTGTAAATTAATTCTAGTTGTACTTTCAGTTTCTAAATTGATTCTTAAACATCTAAAAAAGAAAATGAATATGCGTCTAAATTTTGTGAGTAAAAACATTAACCGTCTAGCTTCGATGCTGCAATTTGAACTGATGATGC